ATTATCAAAGATGATCTAGTTCACCAAGAAGTTAGTTCTGAACTTTGAAGATAACACGTCATATCTCAGGAACTCTCTCTTATCAAAAGCTCAACATGGGGCACTTGAGTTCTAGTTTTCATTCCATTACTGATCTGCTATGTGATATTGAACAATTCTTCCCTTCTCTGATTCTGTCATGATGATGTACATATTTCTCTCTCTCTCTCTCTCTCTCTCTCTCTCTCTCTCTCTCTCTCACAGAGTCATTCAATGAATCAAAAATTTGTAATATACTAGCATATTTTATTTCTACCTCATCTCCTCTCAACAATTTCACCCCCAGGAATACTTTCATTTTCCATGGACTAGATTTTGAAACACATTTTACTGTGCATCCAGGTAAACATGCTTCTGTTTGGCAAACATAGACAGTTCATCTTTTACTTTCTCATTTTATGTAAGTGAGGAAACTGACAAATCAAATTTTAGACCACTTTGAGAGCATCCTTAATAACAACAAAAGATCATAATGGTTTGAAAGCAGTGGAAAACATTCAACCTCACTAACTCTAAAAAACATGACATAAAGTACTCTAGAAAGACAGTCTTGGATTAATTAATAAACTGATTCTTTTCAGGAAAGGTAGTTCTATATTTTTGCTGCTAAGATAGCCAGAGATGTCTGCCTATTCTGAAGTGAATTTCTTTTCCTCTGGAGAAAACAGTTTAAATAGGAACCAAATAACCATATGCTAACTGTACACTGCTTAGCATATGACTTAGAGGCTACATTCTACAATGGCAAGCATGAGCATCAAGGTTCAAATTAATTTTCCTTAAAATTCAGTGTAATTATCCAAGATCAAGTTACTTGTTGTGTCCGATAACTCTACTATAAATTTGTGCCTGAAATAACATAAATTTAATAATTGCTAATGTTGGTTGTAGGAGAATAGATTGACAAAATATTTTCCTAAATGTTCTTAGACTCTCACTTATAAAAAAATGCAGAATAAGCAAGAAACTAATGCTTGCAAGAGATTTTTAGAAAGCTAGCTTTGAATTAAACGCATAGCGAGTTTTCGTTACGTATTAAGGAGAAACAATGTCTTTTAAATTATAAAATTTAACTTAGAAATCATCAGGATATGTCATTCTTGGCTTGCAAGGAAAAATAATTGAATAGCAAGTTAACTTTAAAGCATCTGTGATTAAATATTATTTTCTTTCACAAAAGTAAACATCCAAAAATTGTAGGTATAATATTAGAAATAAGGATTGCTACATATTTTCTGACATTCCAGTTTTAGACTTACAATTGTGTGAAATAAGTTTAACTGCATCAAAACCGAGTTTTTTAAGAACAAGGAATGCAGTTTACTATGTGGCAAAGATAAGTGAGATTTGACCAATATTTTGCAGTGTGGTCTATTCAAATTGTATTTGGGATGTGAGTGAAAATAAAAATAAATAATCCTAAATATAACCAATGAAAAGCAATCCTTCTGGTTCATTATTTCTAATTTAAATAAATATTGAAGTGCAATGGAGAAGAGTATTATCATTTCTATAAGGAAATAAAAGTTTAAGTGGCATTCCATATAGGTTTTTTTGAAAGTTTGAGAGACTAACAATTATTAAGAACCAAGAAACTCAGTTGTTCTTTCAGCTGTAAATCTTAGTTTAAACAAAAGTAAAACACACAACCATGTTTTCAAAAGCATTACCAACAACTGCACTGTGAAACCTCTGTTGCCCCAAGATACTTTTATTAGTGCTGTTACTTGGAGCCACTCAAGTAATTTCACTATGAAATTAAATGCAATCTTTGTCTTCCTGTGTCTGAAAGTTGGGGAGAACAGAAATAGCTCTTATTGAATTTCTGGTACCTAAACTAAGGAGGCCTTAAAAAAAAAAAGTAATAATAATCTCCAGGAAAAGATGAAACCCAAACTATAACAGTACTTTAGGTTTAATTTTCAGCAAATGTGGTCCTTGCCTCTTCTCCCCTGTCACCTTGTTTATTTATGATACATACAATAGTCTAGTTCAGTTTTAAGACAGAAACATCCTTAAAATGGTAAAGAAGTAGAACTCATTGTTTAGAATAAATAGCTGAAATACAGTGAATGAATTTAGTAAATAATAGTTCCTGAACTACACATATACTTATCTGTTCAAATCATATGTTATATCTAAATAAAAACACGTCTAACCATTGTAATTAAAATATACAAAAGCTACTCATACTTTTTCAGGATTCAAATGATCATATTTCACTAATAAGGATATTTATGATTAACTATCTGTATTAATAATAAAATGTATTTGACAAATGCATAGCATCCATACATTTCCCCCTCTATAATTATAAGAATTAATATTGAGTATTATCATAAATACCACAAGGAAATTCCCTGTATAGCTAATGTCATGTTTTTCTTTTTATCTTTTCCCTTTTCTCTTCTGCAAAACCAGAGAACAGGTCCTGCCAAGGAGGCAGGGTCAGCACCAGTGGGGGTAAGGTGGTGAGAAAAGGGAGTTGAAGGGGGAATACAGTGCAAAAAATGTGTACACATGCATATAAATGCAACAATGCTTATTGGGGGAGAGGGAGATAAACAGGAGTGGTGGAAAGGGTGAATTCAAGTATGATATAGTTGATACATTATAAGAACCTTTGTGTAACCCTACCCAGCACAACAATAAAGGAAAAAAATGTTGAGTATTTAAGTGTTTGTAAATCTTGTATTAAATTTTACTTGGTAAATGATAATATTCTTCTTTCCTCTGGAATATCACAGTAAAATTTTTAAATTATGCATTACTGGGCTCTGAATTTAAATATTTTGCTGGTAAAGTGACATAATAATCTTATGTCTGGTTTCAATTCCATGATCATATCTGTGTTGACTAAAACTGGAAAGCTTTTCCCATAATGACCTCTCAAGGTAATGGAATGTCTAGCTTACAAAGAGAACTTAGCTGGAAACTAATAGTATCTTTAAAATATCTACACAAAAGCCAGATCAGAAAAGACAGCTGTCTAACTCCCAGGGTATTAATGGTATCTTGATCATCAGGGGTAAAGCTACAGAAATGTCTTGAAAAGAAAGCTCTAGAAGGTAAGCATTTAGGCCTATTCAAGTCTATAACTTCCTTTTGTAAATACTGACAATGATAAGAATGTAAGTTGAGTAGGAAAAAAAATATAGAAACAAGAGATGATCTTTGATATTTCTGGTGGTACACAATTGTTTTATAAGAAATTACAATTCCCAAGAATAATCACTTTGGTTTTGCCCTCTGGTGTTCATACCTACCAAAAATAAGAGCTAGCCTAAGTCTATCAGTCTATCATTCCTGATTCTCTAATTTGTTTTCAAATGTTACCTTAATTTTACCTCCACAAGGAATGATCATACTTACATAGAAACATATCAAAAGTTACAAGGGTACCAAGATCTCAACTTTGAAAGATGATTTTATCAAAAGTATACATTATTTTATAAATAAGTTGAACAGATAAATTACTTTTGTTTGGATTATATTTAACGTTAGGCTTTACAAAAAATGAAATCAAAATAGCCTTCTGTTGTGATTATAGCTTTAATCCACTTTGCACATTTAGTTCTAAGACGTTCACTGAGAGCCAAATCAATGAGAGAAAGTCAGTAATTTGCTTACCAATTCACTGTGGATTGAGAAACATAAATTCAAGTTTCAAGTAAATATTTTTAGGAGGGAGAATTAGAAAGAGTAATATAAATGAAGTGAATATGATCAAATATGTGATATGCATATTGCAAATACTGCAATGTAATCCCATTGTATGATTAACATATGCTAATAAAAAAGAAATACAGAAAATAAAAATAAAGAATAATAAGAAAAAAGTGAATGACTAGTTCTGACACAGTTTAAAATGGTTATGGTTTACTTATCTAATTATATTTTATGTTCATATCAGACATCTTTGGCATTCTGTCTCACTGTAAATACCACATGTCTCTGAGAGGATGATAAAATCATTTCAGTTCTTTGGGGCTGACTCCATATTAACTTGATTCAGCTGGAATAATTTATTTCTAAACTTTTTTAACACCTATAATTTTATAAATATTAATGGCTCTATGTATTCATGCTCTAGTTCGATTTTGGAGACTGAAAACTTACTGCATAATTAAAACTTTGGGCATAAATCATATTAAAATATTAGTCAACTTGGGAAAACATCATACATAACTGTATACATGTTTATGAATATAATTATATATATATATAATTAGATAGAGTTAAAGTGAATTAACACTAAGTTCATTTGTCTCTGTATTCCCTATGCATACATCCTTGATTTGTGTCATACAGGTACAGCAGGATTCTTTCATGGGAATGAAACTTCTGAGCTATCTTTTGAGAATGGATAGAAAAATAAGAGAAGTCTAATTCGTTTTCAAATACAATACACAACTAATGTCTGGATACAGCAATTTAATCATTAGTCAACAAATTTCACTTGAGATCACTTCAAATAGAAGAATTAGAAACTGTTTAAAAACACACTTTATACTAAAAGGTGAAAGTATTTCTCTTGATGGAGACTAAAATATCTCACACTATTTTATTTACAGACAAATAAGTATATTTAATAGAGTCAAAAGGAACAAAGGAGAGGAATAAACAATTTCAAGGAAAATGGTTAGCAGAAAATGCTGCAAATCAAAAGTCAAAAAGTTTAACAGCCAATGAAACCCCTTTGTATTGTCAATGTATGATAATAAAACAATTCTAAGAAAAACAAAAAAGATCAACAGCTATGTGTAAATCCCAATTTAGCTTGAATAACCAGATAAGATGAGAAATAAAGAAAATTCAAATACTAGACTGCAGTGAAATATAAAGCTAGATTATCCTCAAGTAACCCCTGTGACACATGTTCAATTTTCAGTGCCATGGTCAAGACAAATGATCCCATTGTTCCATTCCCCTGCCCCACTCAGAAAACCCAGTTTACTTACTAGCTACCTCCAGCGATGCATTGTGGCTCACAGCCTCTCCGAGGTAATTCCTTGCTACGCAGACATAGACCCCTTCATCAGGCCTACTTTTTCGTCCGTGTACTATACGTAAGAAAAATAAAGATCCACTTGGCAGTAACATTCGGTGTGAGCGAGGGTCATCTTTGTCCGTTTCCACTCTCTCCCCGCCTTTGTACCATTCAATCGTGGGTGTGGGGCGGCCTTCGGCTTTACAGTTCAAAGTCGCTGGTTCTCCTTTTGAGACAATTAGGTCTGAAGGGTGCTCAACAATGCGAGGTGGAAAATCTTCCTGACGAAGACGGGAGCCTGAAAAGAATTGACAAAATATCCTTATGTATCACTGGAAAACAGTTACAAGTCTTATTTCAAAAGCATGAGCTTTAACACAACTATATAAACACTGCCTGACACTTCCTACACTATTAAACAAACTAATCCTCCTGGTGTCTACCTTGGATGCACTTTCCAATTTCGAAATCCTGTTGACCATCCACTTACAGGTTGTCTTGCTTAAACTTTGCCCGTACAGATCCTCTATATTCAAACCATGAATCCTTTCAGAACCCATCACACGGACTGGTTCTACCATGCATGATGCTTGTTTCTCCAGAAGAGCATGTTAGAAACCTGCTAAATAGTTTCCTGAGTATTACAAATAATGACATGCCTTACTGGAATTCCTTTTTAACTAGCATCAATTAACACTTTAACAAAACATAAGCTATATGCTAATTTCATTATTTAGAGAGTACTTTATTAGTTTCTGTAACTGACTTTACATAGTTAAGGCTTTACATATTTAATACAGTGTGTTACCCTTGTACAAATGGAAAAAATAATAATTTTAATGTTTCTAGACCACTACAGCTATTAATCTCTGAACAATGCTAACTCATTATGCAAGACTGGAATACTCTTTCCAAAGTCAACAGCATAGCTAAAGTTTTAAATTCCATATATACTCATACATATATGTATATGAAAAACAATAGCAGTATGTATGTTGTGCATCAATAGCAGCAATTCCAAGTTCAGCAGTCATCAGAACAAAATGATGACATTCAGCACACTCCACTACAAAACCAAAAGCACAAAAGAAAACAGCAAAGCTCTGTCACTGGTACCTGGCATTATTACCTTCTCAATCATCATTTGAAAAGAACACATTCTAGATAACATCATTAAAAACAGCTCTGATGAAGTTTAGTTACTACTACATATCATAAAACAGGTGCAAGACACTTTATATTCATAGAGATATGATATAGTACTAAACGACTACAATACGGGATTTTAAAAGCATACTTTAAGACTTTATTCTACTTTTCCAGCAGAGGATACCAAAGGATGGTATGACACATCTCTGCAAAGAAATGCACTTTCTTAGATAGGGTTTCCTCTCATTAGCAGACAGTTCTAAGGTCTCACTCTGACTAATGAACATTTATATTCTAATATAATGGAACTTTTTTATATAGACTCATATCTTCTTTATACACACACACACACACACACACACACACACACACACAAATATATACTTTTCCCAGAGTTTTAATTAAGCGAATTTCATTATTACTCTGTAAATTTTTAACAGGCTTCAAGGATGAAATGAAATAATGAATTTAAATAATTACAAATAATACAACATGGAAAAGGATATTGGATAAGGAGTCACATTCTGGACCTTATATGTCACTCAATAAATGAAGCTCTAATTGTGTGTCATTTAAATATATCCGGTGTCTATATCCTTTTTTTTCAATTAGGTTAAAATCTCAAATTAGGCATCATGTTTCATATTTTTATGTATTCCTATCTTATTTCTGCTATATAGAGTAAATATGTAAATTCCTCAAAAATTGCTCAAATTCAACAGCCCAAGTCTTCACTTAAAGTAGATCCAAACCTGGCTCTTTTCTAGCCTTCCAAACTCAATGAAAGCAAAGTCAAAATAAGTTTTCCTTAACACCTCGCCTTAGGTCCTCTGGGCCTCCCCCAAATTCCTCAAATCATTTTCCTCCTCCCCATTTCTACAGCAGCTACTATCCCAGAGTTTAGGAAAGTCTCTTAAATAATTCACTCCAAAGTAATCAGATAAAGGCTTTGAAATGCAAATATACTACAGTTCTCCTCTACTTCAGAGGCTCTTCGAATAAACTCACTGCTCTTAAGTCCTTGACAAGCTCTCCAGACTTCCTTCTCATTTTCTTCACTGCTCCCTTCTCCCAGCCTTCTATTAGCTCCATGAACATACTGTGCTTCCTCTCCGGCCCCACAGCCCATGGGTTCCAAATAAACTCACCCTCATTTATACCCAATACTCTTTCAAAGCTCTGCTCTCCCTGACCTCACCACCAAAGTAGATTCTCCTTTTTCAAACCTAAACAGGGACTGCAGGCATGGCTCAACCTGCTCGCCTAAGCAGCCGTGTCCCCATACTCTGTCACCATTCTTGATAAGAATGATCAAAGTTATTATTTCAATCTATCTGTCCAATGCTTTAAATATGGTCTCTTATCATAAGATCTGTGGGTCTGATTCTGCTCATATATTTTTTTTCTTTAAATGCCTGGCAGAATGCTGAGCACGTTACAGTACGCAGTGAAAAACTGAATAAAGACAGCAAGATCTAACTGAGCAGAAGGAGCTGAAGTTTAAGAAAATTGTAACCACTGTGCACACTATGCAATATTAATAGACTATAAATCGTAGATGGGGCTTATCTATAAGTGTCTAAATTACAGCTACTGCAATTAATATTTTTCTTAGTAAAATGAATGATGAAACTACAAGATCTATTATTTGCTTATAAATACACTGAAACAAGTTGTAATCTGAAATAGTGAGTAATAATTTTATTCCAAATACTGAGAAATAGCTTTAGTTTGACATGGTATACTATGTACCAAACTCTAAAAGTGGAGGAAATAAAACAGCAACATAATAGGAAATAATTTGGAAACATATACTCTATCATAATGGCTATGTTGAAGAAAAATGAAATTTAGGTTAGCTTTTAGATTACTCATAATGGCTGGTGAGCAGCTCAAGGAGTAAAAGCACATGTCTAGCGAGCAAGAGGCCCTGAGTTCAAACCCCAGTTCCACCAAAAAATGTTTTTAAAAAATGTAGATTACTCATAATTGTCAGTGTTAGAAACCTCCTAACATATAATATAATAGATGGTCTTTACCTTGGCAGTAATTATGAAAGATGGCTGCAAATGAAGATCAACTACTGAGGATGTATATGTGTATGTCTAATAAGACAAATTATATTTTAAATTCTGAAAGTCCATTTGAGATAACAGTGCTGCATCAGTTGCTATAATAACACAAAGAAGGGCCATCTAAGATGAGCTCAGAGAGTCAGGGAAGGATCTGGAACCATGGAACTTTAGGTGAACCTTGGAAAAGTCAGAAAAAAAAGCAGGGGATGATTTCACACAGAGGAAGTTGCAAGAGTATATTGGTATACTTATGGGATCTGCAGGGAGGTTAAATATGGCCTGTGTATAAGGTGAGTGTCAGAGATTGAAAGAATGAGCCTAAAAAAATGGCTGAAAAAAATGATGTGATGGACTTTGTTCATCAAGATGGAATTCTGTAACCTAGCTAAAGCAACAGAAAATCACTAAAGAAGAATTTAAGGAATCGATATGTTCAAGTTTGGTTTTAAAGAGGTCATTCTTGGCAGTAAGAAGCTGGACTTAGCAGGCTAAATTAGAAGGGGACACTTGCACCCTTCGAACGATAAATCTGTGAACCTGTACTTAAACATTGACAGAAAGGAAAACAAGGATAAATCCACAGATATTAAATCATAAAATCCACAGCACCTACTCCCTGACAATGTATAGGATCAGAGAGATGAAAACACACAGGATGAGAAGACAGGGGAAAGGGAGATTCCAAATTAGGAAATAACGGAGTGAAACTTGGTGAGAAAAAAGGGTCAGAGGAGATGTTTATTTAACACAAGACACGGAGAGTTTGGGGTACTTATAGAAATTCCAAGTGGAGATGAAAATTTGCCAATTGTATATCAAAGCTTGATGGAAGAAAAGAAATCTCAGTTGGAGCTGTTGATTAGAATAGAGCTGAAGAAGAAAACCATGGGAAAGAATAAAACTGTCTAGGGAAAGGGTGTAGAGGAAGCAATGGCCAATTGTAGACCATGAGATCACTGCAGAACACTGCAGTCCTGCTGAGGACTCACACCTCCCCCAACCTGCAGTTCCCTCCAACTGGACCACAGCCAGGGTAAGACTTTGGGGAATGAGGACCTCAAGCCCAAGTTTTCATCACGGTGTTTATACAGCAGCATTCAGTAAAAGTTTCAGCAATAAAAATGCCTTCTACATTATTAATTACCAAATTTACCAAAAAATGCTCTGTGGAATAGTCTTTCCTCACATTGTTAATAGTATTGCTAAAAAAAAAAAAGTTGCATTTGTCAGTGCCTTTAGTCTTCCTAATGTACATTGATATTCCAGAAAAAGAGTACGATATGTAACATTTAGTCAATGAACTCTTTCATTTTTCTTTTTACAGGATATTTCATTTTGGTTTTGGCCAACACATTTGAAGAGAAAATATACACTATCAAACATATGAAAACACAAAGAAAATAAATAAGGTTAGGAGAAGAATAGTCACTTGACTGTAGTAGAAACAATACCTTTGAAAATTATACCAGACCAAAATCTCTAATTTCTCTTAACATGTAACTTTTGGGAAATGGACTTTTTAATGTCTGAGTCATATTTACAGTAAGTGATTGGTCAGCCCCATTAATAAAAACCATAAGTGGAATTCATCACCTTTATTAACATTAAAATAAATTATTCTTTATAATCAAGTATAAACAAGAAGTAAAGGGACTGAAAAAAAACTGCTATTAATTATCCATCATTTGCATTCTCATGACAACGTCTTTATCGGGTGGGTGTTGTCATATCTGGTGTCCATATGAGGAACTGAAATCTCAGCTGTCATTCAGCTGGGAGATGGCAGTGCTAGGATTCAATCCTAGTCAAATCTAAAATCCTTGCTGTTTCTCACTGTCCCATAAGTACTACTGGGATTAATTGGTTAAAATCTATAGATAAACATGCATTGTTCTTTTTTGCTTTCAGCTTTGAAAGTCATTTTTATTGCTCACTTCTGAAACACAGATGGCAAAAATAGCAAAAAGCTGGTGTTTTTATGTCTGCTGTTCTTTCCTCACGCATGGAATATCTACCTCTAAACAAAATTATTTCATAGTCAATTAATGCAATAAAGAGATTGATGATGAATAAA